TACACCCCACTTTGGCTATGGGGGTGTGTCAGAATATTATGCTCTAGCCTGTAGTGGGGTGCTCTATAGCGAGTACAACCCTTCTAGGGTTTGCTATTTGTATCCTCATTCTTGCTAGTGCAACTCCTCCTCTTTGCCTAAACTGTTTCTTGCCTAGCTAGGGCTTTCCTAGCTATGGCGCCTTCTTCTACTGCTTTTCACAGTGCGGAGCCTCTGTCGCGCCGCGATCGAAGCCGCAATTGGCTCGAAACGAGCGCGCAGACCTGCGCACCACGCGTCCCACGTGCGATACTGGGGCACCTCCACGAAATACGACGGCGCCCAGGGTCCAGTTTGTCCTTCCCGTGTCGGTAGAGTCGCGTAGTCCACCGGCTTCGTGACGATGACACGCCACCAGTCCATGGCGGGTCCTCGCAGCAAGGACACGGCGTATCGAATCTTCGCCGTATCCTCCGAGACGTAGTTCGCGTCGAAGAAAACGTTCAACGTGAAGAGCCACGCCTGAACGGTAGGACTGTGAAGAAATGAGGAATGTGAAGAAAGGAGGGGTTTCACTAGCAGTAGTTGGGATACATATAGCAAACCCTAACAAGGTTGTACTCGCTATAGAGCACCCCACTACAGGCTAGATAATAACATTCTGACACACCCCCATAGCCAAAGTGGGGTGTAATCAGCACAATGAGCAGGAGTTCACAATAATATGCAAAGCTAGAGGTAATCACAGCGGGCAAGTGAGGAGGAGGAGGAACTGTGGAAGGAGAGAAGATGGGAGGCAACGACTGAAGCTGCAGAGGCACGAGCACAGGAGCGGCTGACTCAGTGGCTACCGAAGCAAGAGCGACGGACTACTGGAGTGACTGGCTCCGCGGCTAAGACGAGCGGCAGGAGCAACGGACCCACTGGCGACTGGTGCAACAGGCTCACTTGCTACCGAAGCAAGGGCGACGGACTACAGGCGCTGCAGGCGACACGACAGCTACCTCCACACAACCTCCTCCAACTGACCCACACCCTTGACACACACCCTATCTGCTTCACCCCTAACTCCACTCCCATGTCACCCCCTCGTCCCACTCCGACGGCTCCAACACAACACATCCACCCCCCTCAGCGGCAGCTGCAGCACTGGGAGACGGAGGAGGAGGAGGAGCAGGGGACGGCGCACAGAAACTGCACCCCCATACCCCCCACCCCCAAACCCTAATTCAGGAGAACGGGCAGCAGCAGGGGTGGGGCGCCGTCAGAAGCACGGGGGACAGCGGGCAGCTCAGGGGCAGAGAAGAACGGGCCGCCCACGGGCCTGGGACAGCCAGACAAACCGCGTGCAGGCGGCCCGAGCCGCGCGCGGGCCTGGCGCAGCCCGTACGGGCCGCGCTCGGGGCTAGCGCAGCCCGCGCTGGCCGGGACGGGCGACCGGGGACGACGGGCTGGTCCCCGTCGCCCGTCGAAGCGCCCCCCGGGGGCGACGCGCGGACCAACGGGGCAGAAAGCCGCCGCGCGCCTCGGGGCGCACGGCGGGCAGAGAACCGCCGCACGCCCCGGGGCGCACGGCGGGCAGAAAACCGCCGCGCGCCTCGGGGCGCACGGCGGGCAGAAAACCGCCGCACGCTCCGAGCGCGCGGCGGGAAGAAAAATCCGTCGCACGCCACGGGGCGTGCAACACACAGAGTAGCAGTGGCAGCGGAAGCAGTGAGGTGGTGGGCCCATACACAGGAACGACCCAGGAGGGTCGACCTGCTCTGATAGCATGTGAAGAAATGAGGAATGTGAAGAAAGGAGGGGTTTCACTAGCAGTAGTTGGGATACATATAGCAAACCCTAACAGGGTTGTACTCGCTATAGAGCACCCCACTACAGGCTAGATAATAACATTCTGACACACCCCCATAGCCAAAGTGGGGTGTAATCAGCACAATGAGCAGGAGTTCACAATAATATGCAAAGCTAGAGGTAATCACAGCGGGCAAGTGAGGAGGAGGAGGAACTGTGGAAGGAGAGAAGATGGGAGGCAACGACTGAAGCTGCAGAGGCACGAGCACAGGAGCGGCTGACTCAGTGGCTACCGAAGCAAGAGCGACGGACTACTGGAGTGACTGGCTCCGCGGCTAAGACGAGCGGCAGGAGCAACGGACCCACTGGCGACTGGTGCAACAGGCTCACTTGCTACCGAAGCAAGGGCGACGGACTACAGGCGCTGCAGGCGACACGACAGCTACCTCCACACAACCTCCTCCAACTGACCCACACCCTTGACACACACCCTATCTGCTTCACCCCTAACTCCACTCCCATGTCACCCCCTCGTCCCACTCCGACGGCTCCAACACAACACATCCACCCCCCTCAGCGGCAGCTGCAGCACTGGGAGACGGAGGAGGAGGAGGAGCAGGGGACGGCGCACAGAAACTGCACCCCCATACCCCCCACCCCCAAACCCTAATTCAGGAGAACGGGCAGCAGCAGGGGTGGGGCGCCGTCAGAAGCACGGGGGACAGCGGGCAGCTCAGGGGCAGAGAAGAACGGGCCGCCCACGGGCCTGGGACAGCCAGACGAACCGCGTGCAGGCGGCCCGAGCCGCGCGCGGGCCTGGCGCAGCCCGTACGGGCCGCGCTCGGGGCTAGCGCAGCCCGCGCTGGCCGGGACGGGCGACCGGGGACGACGGGCTGGTCCCCGTCGCCCGTCGAAGCGCCCCCCGGGGGCGACGCGCGGACCGACGGGGCAGAAAGCCGCCGCGCGCCTCGGGGCGCACGGCGGGCAGAGAACCGCCGCACGCCCCGGGGCGCACGGCGGGCAGAAAACCGCCGCGCGCCTCGGGGCGCACGGCGGGCAGAAAACCGCCGCACGCTCCGAGCGCGCGGCGGGAAGAAAAATCCGTCGCACGCCACGGGGCGTGCAACACACAGAGTAGCAGTGGCAGCGGAAGCAGTGAGGTGGTGGGCCCATACACAGGAACGACCCAGGAGGGTCGACCTGCTCTGATAGCATGTGAAGAAATGAGGAATGTGAAGAAAGGAGGGGTTCCACTAGCAGTAGTTGGGATACATATAGCAAACCCTAACAGGGTTGTACTCGCTATAGAGCACCCCACTACAGGCTAGATAATAACATTCTGACAAGGACCACCCCGCTGACTTGGATCGAAACATGGCGGACGCTGCGGCTTCAGCGGCATCGGCGACGGTAGGGTCGATTCGCCGGCCGGCACTGAAATGGTGACTCGAGGCTGATTCCTGGCCGCATTCGTCGCGTCGGGGTGTGTCGTGCCGTGGTCGTCGTCTCCGTCATGGCGGACGACGCCATCACTTGCGGCGCTCGCGGGTTGCCCCACACTTCCGTGTTGCGATGTCTGTGGTGCGGGCTGAATCGGAGTGCCAGGTGCTTGGGATTGTGCTTGTGCGAGGTCATTGTGCAGGGACGTGCGTTCTGCCGTCAGCGCCGCGATTTCTTCGGAGCTTTCGCAGATTTGCCGCAGCAGTTCGTTCAAGTGCTCCTGCGTAAGAGTCGCGACATCGATATGCTCAGCCATTACGAGGAACGTCGGCTCGGCGTAGTCGTAGCTGCACGCGTTTACGAGAGAACGCGAGGACAGCAGCTCCTAGGTGCTAATGTGCGTGAGTCCCTTCGAGTGAAAAAATCAAAAGTTGATTTCCTGGGGTGTGGAGATGCGCGGTCCGAAAAGAAAGAGGCTCTGAATACCAAGTGTTACGGGTGCAATGACTCGAAGTAGCGAGCGTTGCACTAAGGTGTCAAACGAGTACAAAATGTGAGCGAAGGCATGAGCGAACATTTATATACGAAACATGCAAATGGTAACGCGGTGCGTACGAGCTAGCTAGTGCTATGCTGGAGGCGAGGCTCGGGTTAGTCCCGAAGCGTAGGCCGATACGGCCAGGCCAGCAGTGCGAGGTTTGGTGAAACAGTGCGCGCGAAGTCGGCGAAGCCCCGTTAGCAGTAACGGGCGAACAACGGCTGCTGCTGTACGCGATGTTGCAGGGCGCGCTAAGGAATATCGAGAAAATTCCTTACAGCCAGTTATGCAGTGGTGGTATTGATACAGTACCGGTAAGATATTTTTTATGCAGTGTGTGTAGTACAAGGTTCCATGTTAGACATCGTGTAATGTTTTGGTGTAGATTATTCGTAACTCCGCAATTCAACTCCCGCCAACACACAGCTGTTTGTCGCACCCACGCGCCAAACTGTCTACGAGGGCCGAGGCGCGAATTATTCCCCCCTCCCCGAGCCTGACTGGCAGGGCGGAAATCGGCAGGCCTGTCGCACCGGCCTATCACTACGCGGCGCTTGGACGCAACCGCACCGGGTTTGTCGGGTTTATGTAGCTGTCAAAATGCGGTGGGCTGTAAGCTCGGGATTCGCGTGTCAAACGTCTTTGTTTCGCTTGTTAGGGAAAGGAGTCTCGTAACTTGGAGAATCCTGAACGCCAATCGCGTGCTTTGGCGAACGGTGAGTGACTAGGTGCGCGGTCTGTATTTCAAAAACCGGGCCGAAGTAGTCCAGTGATATAGGTTTCCAGACTCCAAACCTCTTCCCTGGTTACCTTCCGAAGCATCCAGCGTAACCTGGCTGATTCGTCGGTGATTGATGTACGGGCGTGAGCTTGCGACGCGGGCCTATTCAACCGCGTGGTCCTTCATCACATCTCGCATCATTTCCTCCTCCTAGCACCTCCATCTCTCCCCATCTTCTCCCTAGCAGGGGGATTCATTCGGTCACTCTTCGTCTTTACCCCTAACACAAAACCGTCAACCAGCGCCTCTTCTGTAGCGCCCTGCTACCCTATCCACATAACTACCCACTAGTTTGCTGCGACAATCACTTTTTCAAAACGCCAGCCATCTCTCCGACGCATAGATCCGTTCACTCTTTAACTCGATCTTTTAACCGCCTCCCGCCCCAGTTCAGCTTCACTCGAGCCTCTGTAGTTGCTGCAGCTCCCGCATTAACTCCTCACTTCAACAGCTACCACCGCCGTCACCATGTCGACGACGCCGAGCAGCACCCAGCCCGCGCAACAGAGCTTGCTGGCGAAGAAGTTGGTCATGGGGGGCAGTGTGGTGCTATGGATCGTTTTAAGCTTCTCCGTTATCATCTTCAACAAGTACATCCTCGACCGGCGACTGCTGAACTGGCCGTTCCCCATCAGGTGAGAACTTGGAATCCTTACACGAAGTTACGACCTGCCTCGTGGAAAGAATACAGAGGGTATGAGACAATTGGGCGCACAAGAACTCGCTGGGCGGGATTTCGCGTTGCTCGGTTGTTACAACAGTCCTCATATTTGCCTATTCGTAAATAGCCACGGCTCTAATCTAGAACTAGCGATGACGTTGGGCAGCGCGAAATGCGAATGTCAGAGGGAGAGTAATTGAGGTTTGTAAATAACCAGGGCCAAATGTAGCCCGCTTACCGCGTTCTTGTTTTCCGTAGCTTCCCAATCTTTCCCTGCTTTCCGTCATCGTGACCTTGCCACCTATATAGCACCATTCATGACCTACCATGCCGCATCCCTTGCCCTCATCATCAACGCCTCTGACTTAACCCCCGATGTCACCTGTCATGCCTCGTTACGCGCAGCCTCACGATGATCCACATGGCCTTCTGCTCCTCGCTCGCCTTCCTGCTCGTCAACGTCTTCCGCGTCGTGCAGCCGCTGCCCGGCGGGCTCAAGCCCGACACCTACTTCACGTGCGTCGTGCCCATCGGCGCGCTTTACGCGCTGAGCCTCTGGTTCTCCAACTCCGCCTACATCTACCTCTCCGTATCCTTCATCCAGATGCTCAAGGCGCTCATGCCCGTCGCCGTTTACCTCCTCGGCGTCGCTTTCCGGAAGGACGCTTTCCGCGGCGCCACCTTCGCCAACATGATGCTCATCTCGTTCGGCGTCGCCATCAGCGCATGGAGCGAGGCCAATTTCAACGCCACGGGAGTGATGCTGCAGCTGACGGCCGTGGTGTTCGAGGCGACGCGCCTGGTGCTCATCCAGATCCTGCTCACGTCCAAGGGCATCTCGCTCAACCCCATCACCAGCCTCTACTACATCTCGCCCGTCTGCCTCCTCTTCCTCTCCTTGCCCTGGTTCCTCGTCGAATTTCCCAAGCTCGTCCCGGTCATGGCTGCCGGCGCGCACCCGAGCGTGCTCGTGTTCGGCGTCAACTGCTTGTGTGCGTTCGCGCTGAACCTCTCAGTGTTCCTGCTGATCGGCAAGACGTCGGCGCTGACGATGAACGTGGCGGGGATCATCAAGGACTGGCTGCTCATCGCCTTCTCCTGGTCTGTCATTGCCGATAAAATCACCACCTTCAACCTGCTCGGCTACCTGCTCGCGTTCGCGGGCGTGTGCTGGTACAACCACGTCAAGATGCAGGTATGTCGCTGGAAGAAATCAGGACAACACCTTTGCCATATTCATGTCTTTCTGTCTCTCTCCCTTTTCTGTATACATGTACCTAGAACATGGTTTTCGTGCTTGCTGCCCACTTGTCCCTCATCCTTCCTTGTTCCTCCATCCTCCGTGTTTCCCCCGTTGCTCTCATTCTTACAGGAGATGAACGCCAAGGAAGCAGCCAAGAAGCAGGCGCAACAAACGGACGAGGAGGCGGGACTGCTGGAGGCCTCAAGAGAAGCTCAAAAGTAGGAGAGGCTCGCGGAGAAGGCTGTGCTTGTAGCTGCGGCACTGGCAAGCCCTCGGTGTCACTGCCTCAATGCTACACCACCCTGTAGCACGCAGAAAGTTCTAGGTGAAATCTCTGACATAGGTGCTCTATCTAAAAGGACCACTGGTTATTTATTAGGTATGATTACTAGAGAACTGTTTGATGCTACTTCCACTGCCTTCCATTACCCCCACATATTACTTAGAAACAACAGAAACGCAACCAGTTTTAGTGTTGGTCCATGACCACGAACGCAGAATGCTGATTACTATACAGGAATGTACATTCTAACAGCAACAGCTGGTAACACAACAGCGCCCTACCAAGCCACACTCACCCTTACATAATCAAAATTGTCAAATGTTTATATATTCTATATATTGTTAGATAGGCTACTGTGAGTTGCCCTCTAAAGGGTACAACACTTTAGGTCGACATTTGTATCTCCTTGTCCCTCCTTACTCAAACATTACTCTCGACACTTGTCTCCTAGCCTATCTTAAGATGGTATTAGAGTAGGTTTTTTACTCCCTCCCACGCTTCCGCTCCCTCCCTTAGCCGGTCCCGAGGCGCCCGTCCCTTAGGCCCCGTTTCGTCGCGGGTAGGACGGCCCCCGCGGGCCTCGTTTTTCGTCGCGTTTACAGGGCCCCACTGGCCCCTCGTTTCGTCGCGCTCCAGAAGGGACTCTCCCCCCCCCCCCCCCCGCGGGCCCGCGTAGTCGTTCTTAGCCCGCAGCAGCGCGCGCGTTAGCCAGCGGCAGCCGCGCACGCCACTGCAGCACGCGCATTGCAGCAGCAGCGCGTGCTTTGCTGCAGCAGCACGGCTAGGCAGCAGCGCGTGCATTGCAGCAGCAGCACGGCTAGGCAGCAGCGCGTGCATTGCAGCAGCAGCACGGCTAGGCAGCAACGTGTGCATTGCAGCAGCAGCACGGCTAGGCAGCAGCGCGTGCTCCTGCAGCAGCAGCACGGCTAGGCAGAAGCTAGCCGCCAGCAGCAGCTAGCCACCGGAACCTAGCCGCCAGCAGCTGGCGCCAGCTAGCCCCTCCCACCCGCCCACAGCCCCTTTCAACCGCTCACAGCCCCTTCCAACCGCTCACAGCCCCTTCCAACCGCTCACAGCCCCTTCCAACCGCTCAGAGCCCCTTTCAAACGCTCACATCCCCTTATCACGCGCGCACACCACCCAGGACCACCCGACCTCCGTTGGTTCGACACTCGCGTCACTCATACTCACAGTGTTTCGCACCGTCGCGGCTGGAGGCCGCTCCGCTTAGCTGTTTAGGCTAGTCCTGACGTTCGTTGTTAGCTAGGTCTCTCCTCGCTCCGCCAGCCCCTCGAACGACCCTCTGGCTCCTCGATCGGCTCGTCAGCCCTGCCTCCTCCAGCCGTGTGCTCCTAGGTCAGCTAACTCCCAGCTCCGTTCGTTACTAGACTGGCGTTCCTAGCTCAGTTTTCCTCCGTGCTCCAGCAGTACCTCGCCTAGTCCCACCTGGCGCTCCTCGCTCCTAGCTCCGTTTGCTCCGTGCTCCAGCTGTTCCTAGCCTAGCGTCCAATATGGACTCCTCCCGCCGCCTTCGTTTCGATGCAGAGGGGCGCCCGATAGAGTTCGGCACCTGGCTCCGCCAGACTCAGCGCTATCTCACCAGTCAGCGCCAGGACGGCGCCACCCTGTACGCCCACGCGTCCGGCGCCCTCCAGGCACCACCGCGTCCCGAGCCCCTCCCTGCCGTGCCCCCCCCGACTCCGGAGGCACAGGCGGACTACGCTCGTCTCGTCTTGGCGCGGGACGTTTGGGACTCCCGTGACGCTGCGGCTGCACTCGCGCTGACCGAGCTCCTTCCACCGACTGAGGCCGCTCACTTCGACCTGGTAGAGACTGCGAAGGAGGTGTATGATGCTATTTCTGCACGCTATTCCACCCCTTCCTCTGCCTCCCTCAGCCGCATCCTCATGCCGTTCGTGTTTCCCGACCTCGGCTCTTTTGCGACTGTCTCTGACCTAGCCACACACTTGCGCTCCCTTGTCGCTAGCTACCGAGCAGCTTGCACTGAGGCTCAGCTTCTTGTTGCTCCTCCTCCTATTTGGCTCACAGTCCACTGGGTAGTCACTCGTCTCCCTGACCGCCTCTCCACTGCCCGTGACGCACTTCTCCAGCATCACCCCAGTGAGCTTACGATTGATCTTCTCGAGACCACTCTCGGGAAGATCGAGAGTAACCTCCTCTCTGTTGCCTCAGCCACTGACGCAGTTGCCCCTCGTTTGTTTGAGGGGTGTGCTGTCCCCCAGCTTCCTACCTTCACTGCTACACGTGCCTCTGCTGCTGTGTCGGTTTCTGAGGACACTGCAGCTGTTTCTGCCGCTGACAGGCAGAAACGGGGCAAGGGGGGCAAGAAAGGGGGGAAGGGGGGTGGCGGCGGTGGAGGAGGTGGCGGTGGTGGAGGCGGCCCTGGGGGCGGCAGTGGTGGCGGTGTTGTTCCAGGCGGAGGGAGCTCTGGAGGAGGTGCTGACCCACCTGCTGGAGGAGGTTCGACCAGCGGTGGTGCGGGGCCCCAGCAGCAGCAGCCACAGCAGCAGCAGCCACAGCAGAGACAGCAGCTGCACCAGGGACAGCAGCAGTGGCAGGCACCACAGCAGTTTCAGACGTGGGGACCCCCACTGCAGTGGGGTCCGCAGCAGCACTGGGGCCCTCCGCCACAGTGGGGACCTGGAGGACCCGGGAGCACTGGCCGCAGCAGCAGCACTACGAGCTGGGCCCCTCGCCCCCCGCGGCGCGACACCGGCCCCTGCGACCACTGGTGCGTCACCGGACCTGGCAGTCCCTGTGTCTGCGGCCGCGACGACCACTCTGCAGCGCGGTGCTTCCGCCGCCTCGACGACCTCTACCGTGCACGCTGGGGTCCTGAGGCGACCACCCCGCGCTGGGCTCGCCTGCTAGCCCGTAAGATTCCTGTATTTGAACTGTCTATGGACGATGCTCGTCAGTATGCTTTGTATGCTGATGTTGACTATAGTGCTGATGGATTTGTGTGCTCGCGTGTTCGTAGTCTAGGATGCTTGCCTCCTGTTAGTGTAGACCTGTGCCTCTCTAGTCTAGGTGCTTGTGTTTCTGCTCTAGGTGCTTGTGTAGCCTCCGGACCTGACACGCCTCCGGCTGAGGCGTCTCTGTCGTTCACGCTGGACTCTGGCGCGTCGCAGTGTTTCTTCCGCGACCACACGACCCTCACACCACTTCTTGCTCCGGTTCCGGTAGCTTTGGCTGATCCTTCTTCAGGACCAGCCGTTGCGCGCAGCTCCACCACCCTCCCGTGCCCTGTGGTCCCCTCTGGTGTCTTGCGCGGCCTCCACATCCCCTCGTTCACTCGGAACTTGGTGGGTGTTGGATACCTCCAGGACAGGGGGATCACCGTTACCTTTGTGGGGGGGGGGCGGACTGCAGTCTGTACTGACGCTACCACAGGTGCTGTTCTGGCCACGTTCACCAGGGAGCCCCGCTCCGGTCTCTACGTTCTCCACACCGAGCGCTCCCCGGTCGCGTCCTCCCCTCAGGTTGTTGCGTCCCCTCCGGCTCAGGTCCCCAGTCCAGTTGCTGTGTCTAGCCAGGTAGTCGTGTCCAGTCCGGTCGCTGTGTCCAGTCCAGTCGCTGCGTCTTGCTCCTGTCGCTCTCTCGCCCACCGCACCGTCCTGTGGCACCACCGTCTTGGCCACCCGTCGATCCCTCGCCTTCGTGGCATGCTCAGTCAGGGACTAGTCACAGGTCTCCCACGCACCTTCCCGTCGCTCCCTCTCTCGCTTGCCCCTCCTTGCTCTCCGTGCGTCGCCGGTCGCTTACGCGCCACTCCCCACTCCTCCTCCCTTCGTCCGGCCACCGCTCCCTTCGAGACTCTCCACTTGGACGTCTGGGGCCCTGCCCCGACGCAGGGGTCTGGGAGGGAGCGTTACTTTCTGGTGGTCGTCGACGACTTCTCCAGGTACACCACAGTGTTCCCTCTTGCGAAGAAGTCCGAGGTGACTGCTACGCTGATCAGGTGGCTTCTAGCCACTGAGGGCACTCGTGGTCGTCGAGTCAGTTGTCTTCACTCCGACCGTGGGGGCGAGTTTCGCTCCGGCATTCTCGGCGGATTCTGCGGCGAACAGGGCATCACCCAGTCCTGGACGCTGCCAGAGTCCCCACAGCAGAATGGGGTTGCTGAGCGCCGCATAGGCTTGGTCATGGACATCGCCCGCACGTCCATGATTCATGCCCGTGCGCCCCATTTTCTGTGGCCCCACGCGGTTCGCTACGCCGCACACCAGCTGAACCTCCAGCCGCGTGTCTCGCGGCCCGAGGCTTCACCGACCAGTCTTTGGACTGGATCCCCTGGTGTTGGGTCGGCCTTTCGAGTCTGGGGCTGCCTTGCACTTGTTCGCGACACCTCCGCGGACAAGCTCTCGGCACGCGCCGTCCCATGTGTCTTCCTTGGTTTCCCAGTGGACTCTGCTGACTGGTCCTTTTACCACCCTCCCCTCCACCAGTTCCTAGACTCCCGTGACGTCCGGTTTGACGAGTCCGTGTCCTACTACACCCGGTACCCCTGTCGAGGTCTCCCGGTACCCCCTCCCCCTCTCTTCCTCGCACCCTCTCCTCCTCCTGCTCCCGCTCCTCCGGTACCCCCGCCCCCCCCAGGTCCTGCCCCGTCTGGTGTGTCCCACGCTACCCCTCTACCCTCGGTCGCACGTCAGGTAGCGTCTCCCTCCCCGCAGTCCTCCTCACAGTCCCCTCAGCAGCCTTCGGCACTTCCGCGACAGGTTACTTTGGACTCGGTTGGTGTTGGAGCTGGAGGTGCAGCCGCTGGCGGTGCTCGGTCTGGGGGTGCTCGGTCGCGGGGTACTGGAACTGGAGGTGCTGGTGCACGTGACGCTAGCTCTGGGGGTGCTGGAGCTGGAGGTGCTGGCGCAGGTGGCGCTAGCTCTGGGGGTGCTGGAGCAGGAGGTGCCGGCACTGG